ACATGCCCTTTTCTTCTTGTTTTTCTGTACAAAAGATATATTTTTGCCATCTTCATTCTTGATGAGACTTTTCTGCAATAACTTTACATTCATACTGCAAAAATTAAAAGGTTAACAGATTAAAATCTCTTTTGAATTGCAACTTCCAAATAAAACAAACTGCTCCAAAAATGAATACTTTTAACATATGCCCACTTTATTCCTCAAAGAATCTGAGTAATAAAAGATTAAATGATAAATGGATAGGGTAAAAGCAAATTCAAATTCTGCAAGAGAAATTGCCACAGCCAAAAGCAGGAGAAAAATGAGGTCTCTGCATTATGAACAAGAGTCTATAATTCAGATCAATCCTATCAGATGAGAGGAGAGGAAACAAAGTAGGTTTCTTTACTCAGTAAAGCAAGTCTGCAGTGAAGCAAGTCGTGAACTAAGGACAAGACTGATGAAGTGAATTTGGATGATTGTTTTTTCAAATCAGTTTATGGCTCAAAGGAAAAAATTATCACATTACAAAAGCTTCCCATCAAAACAGTATTATTAATATACAAGTATAAAAACATAACCACAATTCAAATAAGGAAAACCAATGGAATTAAAATAATTGGGTGTCCAGATTATCAAAAAGATAGCAAAGTAAATTACTCCATTGTCTAAACTGGATGAAATGGTAAAAGTGACAGCACTTATTCATGAACTGCCATGGCCTCTGAATGTTACTCCCTAACTGGTGCCACCATGACTGGCATTACCAACAATGTCCTTTTCCTTCATAACTAAAATAATCAAATACCTTGATTCACTGGAGACATTCTTAATTTACAAATACTCTAGCAATGTGATTATTAGTAGCTCTTTACTTTTAAAACTGTCCATTTTTGATGAAGTGGAAATTAAAAAGGGGGGAAAAAGATTTGAAAATCCCTATTAGTCTATATAAATTATATTACCCTATCCATGACACATTTTGGCTTTTCTCTCTAATAAGTCCTCAACTTTTTTTTTTTTAAATTTTGGTGTTTTGGGTTTTTTTGTACAAGGATTGTACCTATGGATGCTCTTCCACTGAGCTACACCCCCAGTCCTTTTTATTTTTTGAGACAGGGTCTTGCTTAGTTGCTGAGGCTGGCTTTGAACTTTCGATCCTCCTTTAAATGTGATTAAATTCTTCCAAATGATTTATTTCAACCAAAGTACATTTGTTGTCTTCAAAAATTGCTTTCTCTTAAAGGACTTCCATTTAAAGAAAACTCATGCATCACATACAGAAAAGGGAATAATAAGCATCAGCTTACCATTGCAAGTTGTCGGCCAATATTTCCCATTGTTATGCCTCCAGCAAAAAAAATACAAGGTAACCAAGAACGAACATACAGAAAGTCTGGAGATGTATATCTAGGATAACAGAAACATTTTAACAACCCACAGAGGAAGTACCTGTACATCTAAAATATTACAATAAAAATAAGTTATTCTGTAGATCATGCTGGATAATGCAATTTCAAAGATCTCAATCTAAATACAGTTATAATTTATTTACCTAGCAATCAAGAACTAAAATGAATACTTACTGATAAACACCATTATAGACTAGCAGTTGAGTGACCACTGTTGCCAAGAAAGCGATTCCTACTCCAAGACCAAAACCACTTCTAGATCTATCAAAAGTCCACCACAGTCCAATGGATAGTGCAGCCAGTGTGAGAGACAATTGTATGTTGTTATCAAAATCCACTTTCTGAGATCAGTGTTAAAGAATCATCTTAAAACTTGTAAAACAGAATTACCTATTCATTTTTCTAAAATAAGAGATATCACTGTTAAAGAATTGTTCATTCTTGAGTATATTCATTTTTTTAATATCATACCTGGGGCTAGGTGGGATTAAAGCTGCCTCTGGAATTTTCCAAATACCAGATATAGTGAAGGCATCTTACCGACCTGTAACCTCACCAAAAAATAATAGCCTATAGACATTCCCAATTATAAGATCAGACCCATTATTTAAGAAATCCTGTCTTTGTTGAACATGTAACTGCAAGCTTTGGAACAGTAGTGTTGCTAAAGAGACACACTTGTGAAAAAGGAAACCAATATTACTTTTCAAACAGGTTTAGAATTACTTGAAAATCATACAGGACCTGAAAATAGAAGAGTTGACAGCTATTTAACAGGGTACCACATTTTCTACATGATTTACTGACAGACACATTTTATAATAATGCAGTTCAGAAACAAGAGTACCAAGGACACAGTATCCCTTTCTATTATGTCAACTGTTCTAGTTTTAATTTGTTGAGGATAAAGCCTTGAAGTGAACATTATCTTGCAACCTGCCAAGCTATTTTGGTGCCTGAGACTTTCTAGTATAGGACAGTTTGTGCAAATATTTTATTTCCGTCACCTACTTAAGCATCTATTCACAAATGTACAGCCCTTTTCTATTCCAAAATCTCTAGGCAAAACGATGCTTTACAAATTCAATTTTCTCATTTCTTTGCTAGAGGATTATACTAAAGGAATTAATTTCAAGTGTCATTAAAAGGGCATTATCTATGTCCCAAAGGCCATATCTTGGCTCTATAACCAGCTCCTTGGGCGGGGAGATAGGGGGCTACATATCTCACCAAACTAACTGTCCATGCTACAATTAAAGTGAAGTTCCCCCCAAATGCACATAAAGTCATTTCCTGTTTCTTTCAACACCCACTGTTTATCATCACCCTGCACTGTACCCCTGCCAGACCAACATCCTGAACACCCAGCTTGCTGACTTCTCAGCATCTCAGGGCTGTTTAGTGTCACTTCCTTAATGTCATTCCTTGCTTAAGTTTGATTTATCAAGAAACCTATAGCTCAAATGGGTATTCTCCCTGGAAAAGCATTTTCTTATTCTTTAGCTGTCATTATACTTACACTCTAAAGAAAATATTTTGAGTGCTGATCCCTTTGAACAATAAATAAGTGTTCACATAAAGAGAGGAATTTGCTATTAATGAGGTTCATCTTTGCTAAATAAATTGACTTCAATAAGAGGTAAGCAAAATAATGGAGATTCCAGAGTAAGCAAGTCAAGTACATCAATCTTAAAAGTAGTATCATGTGATTTTCTAAAGTCTAGGGAACCTAATATGAGGAGTCTGTGCTCTAGATTTTGTAAGTATTTTGAGTTTTGCATAAAGAACAGATAGGACAGTTAAGATGGTTATATTTAAGGATTTCATTGAGAAAGAAAAAAGGGAAAAAAGCAAATAATGTTATATGGAAAGTTTATAAAATGCTAGAAAATGCTATGTAATTTTCTCTACTTAAAAACAGAGATTGCAGCCAAAATGTGTGGGACAGGAAGGTCTATCTAACCCAGCAGAAAGAGAGGGATGTGCACACCTACGAAGCTCCTAGAGAGGAAAATGAGAGACCTGAGTTAGGAGCTCCGGGGCCTGCTCTCAGTTCTGTCACAGTCCGGCAATGTCTTAGCAAATGACCCAGGCTTTCTGGTATCCATGTGTCTTATATCTTCACAAAGAAAACATGAAGCTAGGTAACTTCTCAGTTCCTTTCTAGATATTATAGTCCATGGTTTTATCTCTTTAAGCACTCCTAACCACTACATTTGTTTTTTTATAAAATCCTAAATGTCAAAAAGTTCACCAAAATAAACATGTTGAAAACTATTTACTACAAAAAGAAACAGAAAACCAAAATAATAACTGCCCCTGAGAGATTTTCAGATTCACAGACCTGCAAGACCAGTGAAACTGGGCACTGTAATTGTTTTTAGAATCCAGGTCCCTGCCTACTTCTGTGGTTTTTGTTCCCAAGTTTATAAAAAAAACACCTCAATCTTTTGGTGAAAGGCCCAGGAATTAACTTGCCTGATGACCCACCCTCTCTCAGGTTACCTGCCTGCCCTGAGCACAGTACAGTGACAAAGGCGCTCTTGGTAGCCTGAGTCTCACTTCTTCCTCTTTCTGGTTCCCAAGGTTCCTGCCATTTCTACTGCCTAAACCATATCTTCTAGATGAAAGAAGACAGAACTAGCATTTCCCAAATTCTCTTCTACAAAGAAAAGGCAGAGGGTGGGGAGGAGGTAGAGAAAAGTAAGTAGGGAAAATGACAGAATGAAATCCTTGAGGGCAAAACCATGTGTCCTAGAGGAGAACATTTTTTTCTGTGATACAGAAGGAAGCAAGGTAATGGTGGCTACCTCATTTCTCACTAGAACTATAAAAATATTCATTAACCACTGTGTAAAAATGTCAGAATCTTCACATGATAGAACTTTAAATGTATATATATTGGGGGAAAAAGTTATTTTTGGCCAAGGTCTGAGGTAGATATTTCTACAATGCCACCTTTAAGAATATTTATATGTTTTTTTGGTATTGGTTAAAACCAGTAAATGATAATCTGCCTTTAAAAAAATTAAAACATCTCTAAATTAAGAAAAACAAAAAACAAAGAAACAACAACAAAATAATAATATCCAAAGCCACTACATGTCCTTACTGACAAATCTTAAATTAAGAAAGAAAAGGGAAGAAAGCCTTTTAAAATGTACCTGCCCCAGTTTTGGAATTACCAAAACTATATGGAAGTAATTAAATAATCCAGTTTAGGACAAACATGTAAGTTTTTTAAATGTGTTGTTTCTAAGTAGTATTGAATAACAGGGATTTAAATAAAGAATTACTCCCACACCATAACTGCATAGCTGCTACCTTGATATTTCAACAATACGGGTCACCTTCTTTTTATGACTAAATGGGCATAATCACACTCTGATGATGGTGAAGCTACAAGGGACAGTTTAACCTTTGGTTTTTTGGAAGCTGCTTTATTATTGCGCATTTCATTACAGCATAAAGGATATAGCACTGGCATGATTTATACCAACAAAGACAGCTACACACCGCATTACACTGGACCACTCTCTTTTAAATTTATGTGGTTCTCCTAGATGCCTGTCAATGCAGGGGTATAATAACCCAATCACAGCTGTAGGAAAAAAAGAAAAAAAATTAAGTCATCTCCAATGTTATCCTGGTAACAATTAAGCTACCAAGAACCACTATAACCTCTAAAAGCATTAAAAATTTTTTTGTTTATAAGAAAAAAAAGAACTCAAGTATTTAACATCAATCACTAATATTTTTAAACTTACCTTCCCAAAGAAAAGAATGAAGATAACACTACTGAAGAAAGCATTGTAAATGATTGTAATAGTATTCTAAATTCTAATAGCAAAACACTCTTAAGCATATGACTCACAATTTAGCAGATTAACCTAGATGATCTATGCTTCTTTTATGCTACAAATATCTATGAGACTTAAGAAGAATCAAACCAGTTAAGCAATATTCTCTCAAACCTCCATAACCCTGAAATAATCTATTAAAATGACATAAACCTAAAGGGAAGCCAGAAACATAAACCCAAGTCGTCATCCACACAATATTCTGATGGTCCTGGCGGTCCTGTTCCATGAATTAGTCTTGCCCCCACCAGCTTCTCATCCCAGTTTTCTATCCCTGGAACCTTTTCCTGACACTGCTGTCTAAGCTGGTCCTCTAATAAGAATGTAGGTCATACTGTAAAAGCAAGGAAAACTCCCAATAGAAATTTATACAGAAAATTGATTCTACAAGTAGAAAAGAATGGAAGACACAGGACTTGTAGGAATTACTAATTTTCACTTAAAATTTAAGTTCACTGTTAAAAGATAAGGAGAAATAATCTTAGTACCTGGCTTAGTTTTAAAAGAATATCTTGACTGTCACCTAAATGCAATTACTGTATACAAAATGTCTATGATTGAGACTCAAAATATTCTCAGCCAATTCTTAAATACTGTTAAACCTCAACATTTTATTCATTCATAGAAGAAAATGTAAATGCTGTTAATAAAAAAGACTATTTAACAAACCAAAACATTGTTCAACAAATCATAAAGAAAATGCATTTCCACAGATTAAATTTAACAGGAAATAGCAAAGCAGCTTTGATTTGCTTTCCTCAAAAGAGACTGATTATGCTGCCATTCTGGAAACAAAGACACAACTGGCCCATCAGTGGGAAAGCATATCTAAAATGTCCAATACCACCTATGACGTATGATAAAACTGTTATACCAAAATCTAAGTGCCCAAGGATGAGGATCTCATGCCCCCACCTCGCACCCACCCCACCCAACTTCTCGCTGCCTGGCATTGGTTAGCTACATCTCACAAGCTCTGCATTCAACCTTCAAAGAAAAATGGAAGCCAATTAATATAAAAAAATCACAAGCTCACAGACCAATGGAGCAACATTTGAAAGAGGCTGCCTGACCATCCCTTCCATCTGGAGATAAGATGCTATGATTATGTATTCATTGTCTAGTCCACAACTCTTCTGACTTAAAGAATTGCTGAGTATAGATGGCTCACAGACCATCAAGAGATTAACAACAAATCTCAGCAGTGCAGAGCTCCAACAACTACTAGAAAATTTAAGTTTCATATTACTTTCCTATTTTATCTCATTGCATTGCTAAATTTGTACACATTTAAAATGGCAACTAGTCAGATATGGTGGTGCACACCTGTAATCCCAGCCACTCAGAAAGCTGAGGTAGAAGGACCGCAAATTTGAGGCCAGTCTTAGCAACTTAATGAAATCCTGTTTCAAAGAGATTTTAAAATATTTTTTTTTTTAAAAAAGGGCTGGGGATATAGAGTACTCTACTCTTGGGCTGAATTCCCAGTATTTTTTTTTTTAAAAAAAAAAGCAACTAAAATGCCTAATAGTTGAATCATCGAAATGAATGTTATTTATTTATTTTTTCCTACGGGGTCATAAAACTAACATCTCATCTATCATTCCTCATTTCTGTTCCCCTCCCTCTCTTTATACAACATATAGATAGCTATGGAGATAGGTCAATATATCTGTATCTATCTCTATAGATAGATAGATAAATATAGATCCAGTTTGCCTGTTGCTGAGTAAAATCATATAAGAGCAGGCATTCCAAGTCAATTTTCCTCAGCAGTTGATGCCATAGGTAAAGAATTATCACATAGAGAATACTGACATGTGTATGTGAAGATATAAATAAGTAAAATTGACTATATTTTTATGCATGTGATGTCAGACTTGCAAGTGAGAGACAACTGAGGAGAAAAAGCAAAAACACAAAAAGGAATTTAAACTGCCATGCTGCCAACCTTGGGATTTGCCAATAAAAATCAAATCCATTGAGTATGCATGGTTCTCGGTTGCTCACTGAGAGGGAGAATTCGAGGAAGCTTGTCACTTCCCATTAAATGTCTTCTTTCTTTCTTTTAAATAAAGGCATAGCAGAGTCTGATAGCAATATATACAGCACTGTGAGGCTCCGCCGTCTGAGATCTCAGCACAATATGTCTGGGATTCTTTTCCTCTTCCTGCACTTTTATTTTTTTAACACAAGAGAATGATAAAATCATGTCTGTGTAAAATCATATGAAAACATAGTCCTGATTAATCAGACAGTGCTCTGATGCAAAATTTGCATTTCTTGTTAGATCTTTAAGTGATTTCCCAGGACTAGTTATAGTCTGCCAAGACTAAAGACAAAAGTTTGTAAAACACCAGTGTAAGTCATGACTTTTCACAGTAATGTGCTTAATGCAGTGAGTGTCACCAAAAGGAACACAGATAAATTAGACATTTTTCAAGGAAAGGGATTGAAAACACAAAGCCACTCAATGAGCTATATACTTCCCTGGAAAACTATGACAGAAGATGGTAATAGTTTCATTCAATAAATATTTAAGTCTCACAGTACATCTGATTCTTGGTATTTGCTGGGGATTTTAAAAGAAAAAAAAAACTGATTCCAGTTGCAAAGTGAGCACAGACATTATAAAATAAAATGCTGTGTTAGGAGAAGCACTGACAAAGCACAGAGGGGTCCTATCCTTGCATGTATTAAGGGGATGTGGAATACTGGACTGTCAGGAAAGTTTCACAGAACAGGTGATCCTAGATTAGGAGAACTCGGCAGGTAACCAGCATGGAAAAGGTTTTCTCATCACAGGTAGGCATCAAGGAAAAGCAGATACAACTGAAAACAGCCGGTATTACCAGGAAACCATACACATGAGGCATGAAGGGACCTTCAGGGTCCAGAATGGCTCTGAGAAAGATCAAAGCAGACAAGGGACATATCATAAAGAGAACAATCTGGGATGAGGGAAATGATGCCAACACTTTTGTTGTAGAGAAAGGCAATCATTCTTACAGTAGTGAGTATATAACACAAGTCAGGGTGAGCAGGGAGTACAAAATTAGAAGCAGAAAGAGAAAGACTGATAAATGCAAGCAAGGACTAAGAAAGAGATGGAAGAAAGATGCAAAACTTGGAAGCTGAATATGGAAGATGAAAGGGAGAAATCTTATAGGACTCTCCAGGAATGGGGTGATAGACTGCATAACTAAATAGAAAAATTTCTTTCCTTTTTAAATGCTTAATGCATTTTTAAAAAATGCATTAGGTTTGGGCTCAACTTCGATGCTTGTGATTCTTTGAGGCAACTTCCCAATTTAGTTATTCCCAGGACTGTTTAAATCTTAACAAAGATGCCTTTGTGGTCCTCAATAATGTTCAAGAGGTTTTTAATTCCAGTTCTAGTATACTGCACACATAAGAAAGGTAATCAACTTATAACATCGGCATTGTTAAATGAAAAATAGAGAACTGAGAAAAGGAAAATAAGATCAAAAGAAGTTTACCCGACTTCTCTTGAGGTTCCTCAAGAAGCACCACTTTCACCCAACCTGCACTATAGGGAATGAGAGCAAATGAAAACCAGAGGCCTTTCTGTTTATAGATAGAAAGCAGTGATTCTGGTGACCCTCCAAAAGGTAACTGCTCAGTCTAAGAATGTTAGTTGGACAGGAAAATCAAATGATGACTATGAGTTTTTTCTGACTTAATGATGCTAAGAATCTTAAAAGTTTGAAAAACGCATACCAACACACACACACACACACACACACACAAATACAGATCACATACACACCAAAATTCACCCACACTATTTTCTTATATCATTTACTTCTTTTTTTTCCCCCTGATATTTTCCCTAAAATGACAATGGGAGGTTGAGAGATTATGCAGCAATCCATTTTCCATCTTTGGTAGCTTCCACAAACCTGACTACTCTCATCCACTAAACACCATGAGCTACCCAACAAAACTGGTAGCAAGAGTTGACAAGTATCTAGGTTTCCCAGTGCCTTTTGTGAAAAAAAAGGTCCCTCATTACAGGGACAGAAGGACCAGGCAATAGATGTGGCTGGATTCTCTCCATAAAGGACGTATAATGTAACCTCAGCCAAGTTCCCCTGCCCTGACCCTGAGTATTCAACCCATGCCAGTATATTCTATCCAAACCTAGCATCTCTTGAAAGCTGAGGCTTGAAAAGAGGCATCCCAACTAGTGGGAAGTATGAATTGCTTTCACACTTGAGCCAAGCCCCACCATTCACTGGCTTAGAACTCTGGGCTCATTGATTTCCTCTTTTCATCTCTTCATCTCCTAACAGGCACAATGCCACCATCTCTATCTGAGGTTGTCCTACAAAGCCCTGAGGTTAGGGGAAACACTTGTTAAATTAGGAAACATGCAATAAGGAAACTTTCCTGCCTCTAGCCTTCCTTGTCTCTATCCTAAAAACACACGTTGTTCCAAGTCTTGTATGACAGCAAGACAGAATTATACATTAGGAGAAAATAAACAAAAAACTAGAAAAAGGTATTGGTAAAATTTTATTTTTCTCTTCTGAATATAAGTGAAATAAAACAAAAATACATGAGAAATAGCAGATAGAGCAGACAGTGATAAAATACAACTTACAGTTTCTTCTCTTTGAACAATTTTGCTACTTCTCTTAGAGAATGGTAATCCTCAAGAAACCAAAAAGCATCAACTTTACAAACTACTCTTTCAGTGTGAATGCTGCAATACTCAGACATCAATGTATAAGCCACGTGAAAACCTTATCACACAGTGTCCTTCTATCCATGCATTTGGATTACATAATTGTCCTGTAGGTTTCATGAGGTCATTTTAAATGTCTTACAATTTGACCCTATCTTTTGAATTCACCCTTCTACCTCCAGTTCTACTATGTACACCCAGAAAGACCTATATTATGTTCATGTATATTCAGTAGGAACATGCAAAAAATCAATTTTTTGTCTCAATCAGAATGTGCTTTTACCATAACTATTCCTCCTGCTATCAGTTATATAAAATAGTATTAATCTATTGGTCCTAGTCATTAGAAAAAGTTAATCCATTATGGAAGCTCAGTATTAATAAGACATTCTGAAATGCTCTACTTTATCTATTACATGCCATCCAGACTTTATCCATTATGCCATCCAGCACCAAAAAACAAACCAAAAGCAACTAATAGAATAATAATTATTTTAAGCAAGGAGAATCTACTTTATTGATCTCCAAATATTTATTACTCTTAAGGTATATTTAATAAAAACATACAAAGGAAAAAACGTATACCAAAAATCTAAAAAACAATACAAAGACTTACACTTGAATTAAATTATTCCATTTTTTTGAGTTTTTGTAAACTTCAAAACAAGACCACATTATATACATCAAACCCTTAGAATCAAAGAGCAATAACCATCATCAAAATAACTTAAAATAAGACTTACACAAGATGAGCTGAGCTGAAGGAAGACCAGATTAAGAGGTTAAATGCCTCATCCTAAAGGGAATCAGGATAGTTTTTAGGATTAAATTTTAAAAGTTCAAAGGACACAAAGAAACAAGATATAGAAGAGTACCTACTCCATGGTTCCACTGATATCACACCCTATAATAGGCAGAAATAAAACTTTGGTGACAGAAAGGAGATCAGAGGGAGCCTAAGGATGTAGGGGGGGAATGGACTAGAAGAGAATAAAAAAAGAATTTTAGGGGTGACAGACGCATTCTATAGCTGGATCATGCTCATGGTTACATGACTACATTCAGTTGGTGCATCAAATTATTCATTAAGACAGATTCACTGTATTATATTAAAATTATACTTCATAAAACTGATCTGGTTTTTGTTAAAAGAAAAGTTTATTGCTCAGAAAACTTCTATATTTATTTATCCTATTTCCTTTCTAAGCATTACAGAAATATCCTACACATACCTGAAGCTGTGCCACAGCATGGTGGTACCCACCATGCAGAAGAAAAGATGCTTGCAATCACATCGGGTGGAAAGAGTGTCACATTTCTCTGAATCTGAAGCAAATTTAACACTAACGCAAGAAATACTCCAATTAAAAAAAGGACTATTCCTCGAATCATCAAGTTCACACTCTGGCTAGTGACAGATGAGATATATGGGCCACACTTTTTGGACCCAGGTAACTCCGTCTCTCCTTCCGCCATGGTTTCATAAGTTCAATAAGCTGTAGGGGTGAGAGAGTCCCAGTTGAAAAGCTCCACTGTTTGTGAATCAAAGCAGATGATGCTTCAACAGTACATCTTGTCCTAAAGCATGACCTACCAGAAATCCTGCAAAAGATAAGAAAGAGATCAGTATGTCTGATACATAATTGTATAATTTTTCTTATTTCAATACTTGTTCATTTAAAAAGATAAATAATGAAATGACAAGTTTGCAAACTCATTTATTTAAATTAGTTATTTACAAAATAAGAAAAGGTTTTAAAGTATTTTATATGCATGATATAATAAAAAATAAAGTGCCACACTAGTATTTTACTAGAAAAGAATAAGTGGCCCAAGAGACCTAAAGATTAGAACAACTGTAAAAACAGCTTGCCCCACTCAGAGAAAAGTAGAACAGATAATCAGAGTCACTTCCAAGAGAATCAAAACACAACTTGCTGCATCTTCTACCTAAATCTCCAAGTCCATCAATTACAATAGGGTGTTTTACACTTTACAGAAAGTCAACATATTGTGATAAAAGATTTAATTTTCCACAATAAAATGTGGCTTGTTCATGAAGACAACCTCCATGAAAGAACAAAATGATTCATTTTAATGTTTGATACATTTAAATTTTTACACAAAAGTACAAAAACTGGACCACCATGCACTCTCGACACACATACCAGCCACTGAAGTCAAAGGGGACCATTCTTCCCGAGGCCACATCTGTCTCTCACCCTTGCTTCAACCCAGTCTGCCTTAGTTGCAGTCATCAGAGTGACTGTGAGAAAGTTGGAAGAGGAAGCAGAATAGAGGAAGCTAAGACAATGAAGAACAATCTCATGACTAGATTTGGAGGAGTTTTATCCACCAGGCTCCTAACTCCAAAAATCTCAACACTTTGCTATTACAATCAGGCTAGGTATCTGTTCACTTCCCTAACCAAAGTGACTGTTATGGTTTGGATGTCATTTCCCACCTAAATATTCATGTGTTGGGAGCTTGGTCCTCAGTGTAGAAATGTGGGGGAAGTGGAATCTTTAAGAGGTGGAGCCTAGTGGGAATGTCGCTTTCAGAAGGGGCTACAGGACCTCAGTCTCTCAGGCTTCCTGTTTGGTGACATGATCTAGGTCTCACACCTGTGCTCCAGTCATCTGCCTCAAGGTCTTCAACCAGACCACTGTTGATGCTGACATCATGCCCTTAAGTTGCAACAACTGTGAGCTAAAACAAACAAACAAAAAAAAAAACAACTATTTTCTAGCCAGTGGGGTGGCCCAAGCCTGTAATCCCAGTATCCTAGCATCTCTGAGAATGAGGCAGGAGGAACTTGAGTTCAAAGCCAGTCTCAGTAAAAGCCGGGTGCTAAGCAACTCTGTGAGGCCCTGATTCTAAATAAAATACAAAATAGAGCTGGGATGTGGTTTAGTGGTTGAGTGCCCTCCTGGAGTTCAATCCCAGGTTCCCCTTCTCGAAAGAAAGAAAGAAAAGAAAGAAAAGAAAAGAAAAGAAAAGAAAGAAAGAAAGAAAGAAAGAAAGAAAGAAAGAAAGAAAGAAAGAAAGAAAGAGAGAGAGAGAGAAAGAAAGAGAGAAAGAAAGAGAGAGAGAAAGAGAGAAAGAAAGAGAGAGAGAAAGAAAGAGAGAGAGAAAGAGAGAGAGAAAGAGAGAGAGA